TACTAAACATGACCTGTTTTTGCGACTGGTAATTTTTGGCGTGTGTGTGTGTGTATGTGTGCGTGCGTATGTGTGTGTGTGTGTGTGTGTATTTGTTGGTTTTTATGTGTGTGTGTGTGTGTGTTTGTGTATGTATGTATACGCGTGTAAACTGATTTCACTGTGAGGGCTTTTGTATTTTGGAGTACTCTTTAGATGTTTTAATGTTTTTGTATATGATTTTGTTTGTACATCGTAATTGTACATCGTTATATTGTGTGTATTTATATGTGTGCGTGTGTGTGCGTGTGCGTGCGTGTGTTTGTCTGTGTGTGTGTGTGTGTGTGTGTGTGTGTGTGTGTGTGTGTGTGTGTGTGTGTGTGGTCTTATTTGCACACTTAAATGATACACATCGATGAGATTAGATAGATGTTCAACCATGCGATATATAAACGCAGGACCTTTAAAATGGATCAAAAACGAACCTTTACTTAAACTCTCATACCTCAAAGATTCCAACATCAAGCATCACATAAACAAACACGACATATAAACAAACACACATGTTTTATACAAACATATATACAAACACCACATACATATACACACATAAACACACGTATATACATACATATACATAGGCATACACATTTTAAAATTAAATATTAATCAGATATAAACTGTTTTTCTTAAAATTTTAAACATAGCATCATCATCGTCATCATCATCATTGTCATCATCAACGTCATCAGCATCATCATCATCATCAGCTCTCTTAGATTCTTTGCTTGATATTTAATTGCGTTTGTAGCCTTAGGACAAATCTCTTCTGTCTCTCGAACGATTAAATAGATGGATGGATGGATGGATGGATGGATGGATGGATGGATGGATGGATGGATGGATGGATGGATGGATGGATGGATGGATGGATGGATGGAAAGATGGATGGTGGATGGATGGAAAGATGGATGGATGGATGGATGGATGTATGGATGGATGGATGGATGGATGGATGGATGGATGGATGGATGGATGGATGGATGGATGGATGGATGGATGGATGGATGGATGGATAGATGGATGGATAGATGGATGAAGAGTTAGGGTTAAGGTTGAGAATGAACAAACGAACGAACACAGGTACCAATGAATAAATGAATGAGAAACGAACAAACTTAAACAAAAATGAACATTCATATGAACCAAAAAAACGATCAAGTGAACGAACGAACGAACGAACGAACGAATGAATGAATGAATAAATAAATAAATGAATGAATAAATGAAAGAACGAAAAAACGAACGAACGAATGAATGAATGATGACCGACGTGTACAGAAGGTTAATTGTTACATCAAGTATAACATTAAACTATTTTTACAACGCACGGAGATCGCGTTACATAGTAACAACAGCAACAACTACTACTACTACTACTACTACTACTACTACTACTACAACAACAATTACTACTACAACAGCAACTATAACAAAAACAACAGCAACAACAACAGCAACAATAACAGCAACAACAACAGCAACAACAAAAACAACTACTACAACAGCAACAACAACAGCAACAACAACAACAACAACTACTACTGCTACTACTACTACAACAGCAACAACAACAACAACAACTACTACTGCTACTACTACTACAACAGCAACAACAACAGCAACAACAACAACTACTACTACTACAGCAGCAGCAACAACAACAACAGCAACAACAACAATAACAATAATATTAGTTCTACGGAATTGTTAAAAGATTTTTTATTGCGTCCTAATGCGGGCTTTAACTTTTGAACCATTGTCCGTCGTTTTACAATAATAATATTAATATTATTATTATTGTTGTTATTATTATTGGTAGTAGTAGTAGTTGTTGCAATATTAGTAGTGGTAGTAGTAGTGGTGGTGGTAGTAGTAATAATGGTAGTAGTAATAATGGTAGTAGTACTATATTAATTGAGTTGGAATCCAGTAAAAACGAAACACACAAAAATAATCTATAGAAAGAACCCCAGAAAGAAAGTAGATGAGAGAAAATAAAGAAGAGAGAGAGAGAAAAAGAGAAAGAGAGAGAGAGAGAGAAGATAAAGAATAAGAACCACCCCACCAGCGCTTATGAAATCATTTAGAATAAATGTTTAAAATAGAAATAACTTGCGTTAATACACTGGGGACACTTTTGAGATGCATGTATCTTTTGTATATGTGTGTTTGTATGTGTTTGTATGTGTTTGTACGTGCATGTATAGTATATATATATATGTGTTTGTAATGTTGGTGTAATAAGTTGGTGGTCAGTTTACATGAAAGAACGTTAATCCATTGGCCTAATGTAAACAATTTTTAATATAATTCTTTGTGCTAGTGTATGTTTGTTTGTTTGTGTGTGTGTGTGTGTTAGTGTGTGTGTATGTGTGTCTTTATGTCTATGTATGTGTTTCTGTGTTTATGTTTGAACATTTCTGATTGCGATTGTATATTAGATGTTTTTAATTTTCTACATGATTAAAAATAAATTAACAAAGTAACTTATTTTATTATTAATTTTTCTTCTTCTAAATTTAAAACATCCAATCATAGGTGTTTTATATATATATATGTATGTATGTATATATATATATATATATATATATATATATATATATATATATATATATATATATATGTTATACACACATACAAACAAACACGCACACACGCACATGTACGTGTTAGCAATTATTTTCAAAGGGGAATTAAAATACTCTTCTCATCATTCCATGAAGGATGAGCAATTTTTAAAAACAAAAAAAAAACTTAACGCCTTAAAAGACAGTTTTGGTTTGTTTGTTTTGTTTGTTGGCTGGTTCGTATGTATGTAAGTACGCGCTTTTGTTTGTTTGTTCGTATGTGTATTTGTATGTGTGTGTATGTATGTATGTTTGTGTGTATGCAACATTACTTTTCCCAAATGGAATTCTATCAAAAATATGCAGATAAGCTATAGTACGTTCTGAAAAATAACGGTGTTTTCCCTAAAATAATATACATTCGTGTACATTCGTACGCACACCACACACGCACCAGATACACAAACACACACGACGCACGCACGCACACGCACACACGCTACAAATTTATCTAGACACTCTAGCGGTAGCATCGAGTATCCCATTAACATAAATTTCATCGTCCTTGAACCTCAAATTTGACCTTGAACTTGAGCCACTACTACTATTGACTGGTTTTATGTAGCCGTTTTTCAGTAAAGCCCTGGCGTACTCTCTGGAGTCGTCCAGCGATCCATTCAACACGTCAACGTTGTTTTTTATCCACTCCACAAATTCCAATCCAACGAAGGTGTTCTCGCTCGTGGGGTACACTGAATTAGTGTAATTAGGCAGGTAGCCCGGCAAAAATTGTCCATCTCGCCATTGTTTCGCGTTGTCAAATGAGGATGATGATAGGCATTTGCAGGAAGTGGACGGTTGGAATGATGACGGGAGAACCGTCGGGTTGGAACCGGTTTGTAGTTTTGTCGGTTTCGTTAGAGTCGAGTTTCTCGGATAGTTGATTCGATCGATGTAGTGCTGTTGGGCTTGTATCTGCTGCATGTGTAGACATTGTCTGGCTGTGAGACGTTGTTGTTGCTGTTGTTGTTGCTGCTGCTGATGGTAATTGCTGTGTTGCTGTTGATGATCGTGCTGTTGCTGAAGCGACTTCATCAGCAGGCTGGTGTGGCCGTTAACTTGCGTCGACGATGCCGACATGTTATTGCCATACTCTAAGTTATATTCTTTTTTGTAATTCACATTTGTTCTGTAATTGCTTCTGATTTCTGAAAAGTCATTCATCTGCTGATCATCCCTGAATGAGTAGATAGTCTTTGAAAAGTTAGCATTCGACCCATTGAAACGCCAATACTTCTCTAGCACGAGATTTAAATACTTGGATGTAAAGACCTGCTGGCGAAGCACTTCCAAAGCTTCCTCATTATCCAACTTAGTCAAGTCCAAACCATTAACACTGACAATCAAGTCCCCGGGCTGAACCTTTCCACTCAGATGAGCAGTGCAACCTTTCTTAACTGTCCCAACGAACAAACCGATATCTCGCTTGTCCTCCGCATGTCCAACTACCGTCATCCCGAGTGCTTTGCCATCTGACAAGTTGAGGGTAACATTTACAATTTTACGGTCGGCAGTTTCACTGGATGATGTTGTGGTCGAGGCTGTTTCAAAGTAAGAGGCTCTAGATCGGTTGAGGGCAGGTAGGTGAATGTGGATATTGGGGTGGAAGGATTTAGATGACGATGTAGCTATGGAGCTTGAAGTTAGACTGGATGATTCGCCTTCAGAGGGTTGTACTCTACCCCATGTCGGCATTTCAATAGTGCTGGTTGTCGTGGCCACTATGGGGGGCGTGCGGTTGGGCAGGGACTTCCTCCTACTGTACGTACTGCTACCTGCATGTTTGTTTGTTTGTTTGTTTGTTTGTTTGTTTGTGTGTTTTTTTGTTTGTTTGTTTGTTTGTTTGTTTGTGTGTTTTTTTGTTTGTTTGTTTGTTTGTTAGCGTTCGAAGTTAATCTGATTGTTAGTTTACAACCAAGTTATGTTCGATTGAAATTTAAGGTTATTTTCAAAATTATTTGTGAAAATATAGAACAGTAATCTATAAATAAATTGTTTAACTACGCTAATAAAACAAAGAATTAGTTGTATGCTAAAGAATGAATAACATTTCAATCGCATGATGTCAGTGTGGACGGGTTGTTCCAGCATGTGATTGTCGTCCGAGTCGAAATGGACGTTCGACAGACTCTTCAGCCACTTTTCAGTGTTTCGCATCCTTTCATCACCGAGGTTAACTGGCGACGGAAGGAACTCTGCCTCCTGGAGACTGAAAATAATTTCTGGAAGTTAATAATCAATTATTTTTATTTATACAGCGCTACTTTCGTATTGCTTCACGACGACGATTTATGATTTTTATCAAAGGCATAACACACATGTGTGTGCTTGCTTTGGTGTGAAACAACAGATCGTAGAGTAAGTACAGTTTGGTTGTTTGGATAAGCGCCAGGCTTGCATTTGAACAAGGCTTCACTGTAATACAACGCTTCTTTGAGTGCTAATTACTGATTGCTTTTAAATTTTAAAGCTTCAGTAATTAAAAATTTCAAATTTATCAACTGTTGATAACTATTAGTTTAAAAAAAGAACAAACATGACTAGCAACATAGATTAGAATTAATTCTACTGCTACTGCGGCTACTACTACTGCTGCAACTGCTGCTACTACTACTACTGTTGCTGCTGCTGGTCGCTGCTAAAAGTCGTGAACAACAACCACTACGGCAATTTTTATTATCATTCATAATATTTAGTAATAAATAAATAATAAAAAAAAATTCGAAGAAAAGTTTTGCCTTTGTTACCCTGTTAAAGATTGCGGACAGTCCAGTTTACGCGATGCTACAGAAGCAGCTATAGCTACAACAGTCGCAGGCGTTGCTGTTATGGCTGCTGTAGCTGTTGCAGTCGCAGTCGCTAATTGCTGCTCCTCTTTCTTTAAGCAACCGAATTTCGGCAAACATGATGACATTTTTTTAAAGATAAGTTGATTAATTTGAAGTTTTTTTTTATCTAAGAAACCTTCCAAAGAATTTACTCAAATTATTATTATTATTAATTGTTATATTATTATTATTATTATTGATGTTATTATTATTTCTTAATAACTATATATATATATATATATATATATATATATATATATATATTTATTTATTTATTTAACTGAATAAATCTTTCTTTATCAGCATATTAAAAG